CTGAGGAACATTAGCTAATCACCAACCAGGGGAAACATCTTAAAAGGATAGATAGGGTAGATGCGGTTAAGTATTCTGTAGGTTTCAATGAGAACATTTTTCAAAACTCATACAGTTTGCCCAGTCTTCATAGGATAGTCTCACAATTCTGAGAACAAATCTGGTGAACGTTCCCTGCACTCCCTCTACGGCAGTAATGCCTTTCTGAAGATAAGGAGACCAAAATACACACAGTACTCCAGGTGCAGTCTAACCAAGCTCCTACACAATTGAAGCAAGACTTTATTGCTCCTGTATTCCAATCCTCTTGCGATTGAAGAAGAACATTCCATTACCTTCAATAACCACTTACTACGCCTCAAAGTTATCCTTCAATGATGATAAGAATTTCCAAGTCCCTTTGCACATCTACACCTTTCAACCTATCACCATAATAAATCTTATGTATATTTATTGATAGCAGATGAAATATAATGTGGAAAAATGTGATGTTATGTTCTTGCTCAATCACTAATCCTGTCTAAATCCTCCTGAAAAACATTTTACATTATCTTCATAACAAAGCTTAGCTTTGTATCATCTGCAAATTTGGAAATATTACATTTGGGCCCCATGTCCAAGTTACTGACATATATTGTTAACAGCTGGGGCCCAAGTAGTAATCCTTGTGGTACCCCCCGACTCAGTCTGCCAACATGAGAATGAGCCATTTACTGCTACTCTGTTTTCTGTCTGTTAGCCAATCCTTAATCTATGCCTTAAATTACATTCTATCTCGTGTGCATTAATTAACTAGCTCCTGTGGTTCTTCTGAAAGGCCTTCTGAAAATTCAAAGGTATCTGTCGACTCCCTTTTACCAACTTCATTAGTAGCATCAACAAACAAAATTTGTCTAACAGTTTTCCATTCGCAAATCATGCTGATTATGCATAATCAGATCACTCTTATCCAAATATCCACTTATAGAACATAGAACAGTACAGCACAGTACAGGCCGTTCGGCCCACGATGTTGTGCCGAGCTTTTACCCTAAACCTAAGGTCTATCTAAACTCCACCCCTACCTTTTACTATCATCCATACGCCTATCTAATAGACGCTTAAATGCCCCTAATGAGGCCGACTCCACTACCCTCTCCGACGGCATTCCATACCCCTACCACTCTCTGAGTAAAGAACCTACCTCTGACATCTCCCCTATATCTACCTCCACTCACTTTAAAACTATGCCCCCTCGTAATAGCTACCTCCACCCTAGGGAAAAGTCTCTGGCTGTCCACTCGATCTATACCTCTGATCATTTTGTACACCTCTATCAAGTCACCTCTCATCCTTCGTTGTTCTAAAGAGAAAAGCCCTAGTTCTCACAACCTTTCCTTGTAAGTCCTTCCCTTCATTCCAGGCAACCTCCTGGTAAATCTCCTCTGCACCTTTTCCAACGCTTCCACATCTTTCCTGTAATGAAGCGACCAGAGCTGGATACTCCAGATGTGGCCAAACCAGGCTGGAGCATAACTTCACGGCTCTTGAACTCAATCCCTCTATTAATGAAAGCTAACACGCCATACGCCGCCTTAACAACTCTATCCACCTGAGTGGCAGCTTTCAGGGAACTGTGAACATGAACCCCAAGATCCCTCTCCTCCTCCACACTGCCAAGAATCTTTCCGTTAACCCTGTATTCTGCTTTCAAGTTTGTCCTTCCAAAGTGAATCACCTCACAGGGTGATTTTCAGGGTTAAACTCCATCTGCCACTTCTCAGCCCAGCTCTGCATCCTATCAATGTCCCTTTGTAACCTGGAACAGCCCTCTGCACTATCCACAACTCGACCCACCTTCGTATTGTCCGCGAACTTACTAATCCACCCCTCCACTCCTACATCCATATCATTTACAAAAATCACAAATAGAAGAGGACCCAGAACAGATCCTTGTGGTACACCACTCATAACTGAGCAGCACCATGTTGAACATTTTCCGTCCACTACCACCCTTTGTCTTCTAAGGGTCAGCCAATTCTGAATCCAATCTGCCACATTTCCTCCTATCCCATGCCTCCTTACTTTCTGCATGAACCTACCATGGGGAACCTTATCAAACGCCTTACTAAAATCCATGTGTACCACATCCACTGCTGTACCTTCATCCACGTGTTTGGTCACCTCTTCATAGAATTCAATAAGGTTTGTGAGGCATGATCTACCCCTCAAAATCCATGCTGACTATCACGAATCAAATTGTGCCTATCCAAGTGATCATAAATTCTATCTTTCAGAGCCCTTTCCAATAATTTGCCCACCACTGACGTAAGACTAACTGGCCTGTAATTTCCAGGATTATCCCTATTTCCTTTTTTGAACAAGGGAATGACATTTGCCACTCTCCAATCTTACGGCACTATACCCGTGGACAGTGAGGATGAAAAGATCATCGCCAAAGGCCCTGCGATCTCTTCCCTCGCTTCCCATAGAATCCTTGGATAAATCCTATCATGCCCAGGGGACATATCTATCTTCAAGTTCCTCAAAATTCCTAATATCTCTTCCTTACTAACATCGACCTCCTCTAGCCTACCAGCCTGTTTCACACTGTCCTCCTCTACAACTAGATCCCTCTCAGTTGTGAGTATTGAAGAAAACTATTCATTAAGGACCTCTCCTATCTCTTTCGGCTCCGTGCACAAATTCCCTTTACAATCCTTGATCGGCCCTACCCTTTCTCTGGTCATTCTCTTATTCCTGACGTACGTGTAAAAAGCCTTGGAGTTTTCCTTGATCCTAACCGCCAAGGTTTTTTCATGCCCCCTTATAGCTCTCCTAAGCCCTTTCTTCAGCTCCTTCCTGGCTAACTTGTATCCCTCTAGAGCCTTATCCGATCCTTGTTTCCTAAACCTTATATAAGCATCCTTCTTCCTCTTAACCAGTCATGTCCTTTATGATAGATTTTCCTACTATGGATATAAGTCTAATAGATCTATAATTTCCTGTTTTTTTTTCTTCTCTTGCAGAAATGACGTGTTTTCTTTTTTTAAATGTGTGTGATAGACCCAAATCTTTTAGATTCCAACTGGTTGATCAAACGTTTGACCAAGATGGTGGCAGAATAGGACGCTACAGCCGGAGCTTGTTTGTTTGTTTCCCTTTCCCCTCTCTCTTGGTGTTTCAATTAGTCAGTCCCAGCTTCAGTGCGAACTTGGCAACATCTCCTCTTAGCCCAGCCTATGTCTCAGCAGCACATAGCAGTGTCACAGCCTAGTCTCTCGGCGGCTTGTGGCAGTATTTCCACCTGCCAGTCAGTCCTTCCTGGGTATGTTCCCCAAGTAGTAGGAGGAGATGGGGAGGTGGCAGCTTCAACAGCAGTAGTGAGGGAGGTCCCCCAGTATTTGCAGTGGCGACAATACGCAGCTGACATCTTCTAGAGAGTGAGCTAAGCAAGGGAGTCATCAAAGCCTGTTGAACCTTTAAACTTTATTCCTTTATTTTTCTAATTTATATTAAGGACATTAATGTTAACCATTGTCTTGTTTCTTTATTTTTCAACTTATTCTATGAAGGTACAAAAACAAATTTGCTGGAAAAGCTCAGCAGGTCTGGCAGCATCTGTGGAGGAAAAACAGAGTTAACGTTTTGGGTCCGGTGACCCTTCCTCAGCTTTTCTAGTAACTTTGTTTTTGTTCCTGATTTACAGCATCCACAGTTCTTTCGGTTTCTATTCTCCGAAGATAATGCTTAACTTTTTTAACTTTGTTTCTTTTACTGCTTTGTACCTAGGTACCTAAGGTGGTGACGTTGTACACTTTTCACTGTATTCCTGTATTGAGTACACTTAACAATAAAATCTAAATCTAAATAAAAGCTTTGCAGATAGGAAAGCAAGACCAACTATATTGTTCAGGTCAAGCAGGGTTAGAGGGTAGCAAATAGTGAAACATTGAGAAGGCATCAGGAAGGGAATGGAAAGGGTAGGAACTGGGGAAGAACAGCAGAAGGCTATGGCAGTAGTTAGGGAAATGAAAGAAGTTGGGTGCAGGGCAGAGAAAAGGGAGGGGAAGATCCCTGGCATGGGAGAAGTGAGGAGAAGACAATGTTGGGTGAAGGAGTAATCCTAGCAAACTATTTAGTAGGGTTTGATTTCAAAATTACATCCCAGCCTCAAATCCACTATCCTAAGGTGCAATATTGAGACAGGGTTTGTTGTTCACTGGACAGGTGAGTAGTGAGCACGCTATCTCAACCTTCACTAAACCCCAAATATGCTCTAAATTAAATACAATCATTACCAATTCCATAATGGCTGGAAAGGGACATACTCGTTTCCACAGCATGATCAGGTTTACCATTCAACTTAATGAAGTGAGTCCCATGTGAGTAGAGTTCATTTTGAAATGACAAGGATAGTAACTGACAAGCAATCTGATCTACAGGTCACACATGAGATGGGGAGCTGATCCTCTTGGAGACCAAAGATGCTGGCGGGGCTGGATTATGCCTGAATATTTCTTTTATTGTTACTTTCACCGTCTCTTTGCTTGCACATCCAGGGCAAAGGCGTGATTCTGATTTGCATTCTTTGGCTTCTAGTTTTGCACTTCCTGATTTCCTATATTGCATCCCACGTGCAATTTTTGCCTTAATACTTCTCTGGCGCTTTGTAAAGATTCTTGTCTATAATGTGAGAAAATTGCACTTAAGTACTTACTGTATTTTAAACTAAACAAATATTAAATTCAGATACATCGGTTACTTGAAATATTCTCTGTTGAATTCAGTGGTTCTGAGGAAATTACGGCTTTTAAAGAAATAGGTTAAACTAAAAGGTTCCATCTGGAACTGTTAAATATGTTAGGTGTGGCCCAATGTTTCCCACTTGTCATGTAAAGTTCTGGTCACAATGTTATCTGTTGGTGTAAGTACATATGGGGGCAGGTGACCCTCCCCATAGATTTTACAGTTGTTTAATGACACCTTTATAATGAACAAAAAAAATTGCTTTCCTGCAGGGGAAAGATGGCTATGTGATGTTTCGTAATTGTCAATGGCTGGTTGACACAGAAACGGCTCCCAGTCTCTCCACTGTTGTCATTAACCATTTTGAATCAGTAAAAATTCTGCAAGGACTCAAGAAATGTAAATCTGGACATCGGATGAGTTTGATCAAAGTCTCCCAAGCTGCATCCATAACAGGTAAATTTATTTGAGCTAGTTAAATGAGCTTATCTTTCAGATTCCACAGCTGATTTTCCGACAGCATATCTTACAGGGACCAATGCGGTGGACTTTGATATTATATGAATGTAGAGGTAGTAGAGGCCTTTTTAAAACAAAAAAATAACTAACTGTGCCTTAAAGTCCTAAATATTAGATTTCATTAATAGCCATTAAGTGAATCAAACCAAACACATGTTCAGTCTATCATGTCTGTTCCATGTCTCTGGAAAAAAAAAACATTCACTCCGCTCCACTGATGTTGGCCTTTCATCTTTTAGATAGCTTTTCTTCCACCTATTTGTTGACACTACTATTAAATCATGTCAAATATGTTTCCACAATTGCATTTAAAAAGCTTGTGTAAGGTAAATTAAAATAAAATACTTTGATAAATTCATGCTCTTGACTAAGAAACCAGTGGAAACCCTTGAATGGATTTTGAGTTTGAAATTTGAACACACTATCAAATACCCTCTTAACCATCTGTAATGAAAACCGCTTTTCCAAAAAGCTTTCAGAACTTTTAAAATAAATATATATACATATGATAGAATTTTAGTGAAGCCTGAACAGCACTTGTTTGCTGTATAGCAATGTAGTACTTCAGTATTATAATTTCTGACAATGCAATCGACATTAAATAGTGTATTTTATTCTGAGAAAATGTTTGCATCTGTAATTGTACTTTATCAAAGGGATATAGTAGACTGAAATTGGAAAACTGCAATTTTAATTTCTATCCACATACATTCACATTTGGATTAACAAAATGAATGTAAAATTGGAAAATCCAACTGCGGATGATTTTCTTCTTTCATATTACTTGAGCTTTAATGAATGTAAGTTATTTCATGCAAATGTACTGCAAAATTTTTCATAGACAACATGAAATTCTGTCATGCAAGAATGTATAGTTTAAGGGAAGATAGTAGTCTAATGGTAATATTGTAATGTTGCTGATCTAGTAATCCAGAAGCCTGGGCTAATGTTCTAGGTAAATGGGTTCGAATCTGACCTTGGCACATGGTGAAATTTGAATTCCATAAAATCTGGAATTGAAAGCTAACCAAGTGGCGACCATGTGAAAAATATCAATTGTCATTAAGAACCCATCTGGTTCACTATTGCCCTTTAGGAAATCTGCTTTCTTACCTGATTTGGCCTACATGTGACTGCAAACCCACAGCAATGTGGTTGACTCTTAAATGCTGGCCTAGCCAGTCCTGCCCACATTTCACAAATGAACAAAAATCAACATTAACCTGCTGAAGATGGGAAAAAATTAAACATTTCTCAGCTGTGTGTCACTGGTGAAATTGCTTTCTCAATACCACATATTTCAAAGATGTTGCAATTTTGTTTTGTAAGTTGCTGGCTACCAGTAAAAGCAAACAATTGTTTTTCATTAGCTCCATCTGGCTCGTGATTTAGTTATAATTATTTTTCCTTAGACTTTGAGAAGAAAGCTGATGACAAAATTGTAGTTGCCCCTGTCCCAGATGTGGAAGGAAGAATATATCACGTTACCAAGGAAATGAAACAACATCTTAGACAACTACGATCTGAACGAGAACTCGGCCAAAGGACATTTCCATTGGATCTCTGTAATGCGAATAACTCACTTGGTTGTGAATTAAAGTAATAAAAGTAGAAGTTTTGTATTTTTAGTGCTTAGTTTTAAATGTTATTCTCAGGTAAAATCTTTTAATAGAATTATTTTTCTGTGTTTGAGCAAATGTTATAGCAGAACTTTGATTTTGTAAACTAGTAAAAAATGCACAGAAGGATTTTGAAGCTAAGCCAGCCTTTTTTTAAAAAAAAAGTTTCAAAAAAATGCCTGCTATGTGGTTTCCTTCTGTTATTAGATTGCATCTAAGAAAAGGTGGTTTATCATTTTACTTTATAACATCTATGAGGAAATCCGTAAAAATATTCACATCATATATCCTATTTCTGTATCTTTGTGCTTTCTGTATTTTGAATTGTAGATAATGTGAAAGTGTACAAGCTGTCAGAATAAAGACTGGTTGAAATATTATCTGGTAAGAACAGTACATAACTTTTCACTAAATCTGGTAACATAATGTTTTCTATGACACACTTGCAGATATTTGTCCTGACCCATTGTTGGTCTGGCAGATGGGACTTAACTGACATTCCACATTCTTGGCAAAGATGTGGATCTGGCACAACTTGTTCAGTCATGCATCAACAGATTAAAGGCATTGTTAATATAAATAGCAAACTGGACATAATATGAACTTTACAATCTGCACAGCTGTGAAGTGCGATACAAGTGGTGGGATGGGATAAAAAGAATTAGGAACAGTGAGCCCAATATGCAGATAATATGGTGTAGTCAATGAAAATTTAAGTTGAATTAAGGTTAGTTATTGTAACTGAACTAAAAACTAACAAGAAAAATATTAAAGAAGTATAAATCTTTCCCATGTCTTATTAATTAGTTTGTATATATTTATTCTATCATTTATGTTCATCAGAACTTAATATAAAATAGCATTATTAAAGGGGGGCAGGGGGTGATGGCCTAATGGTATTATCACCAGACTATTAATCCAGAAACCCAGATAATGTTCTGTGGACCTGGGCTTGAATCCCACCTCAGTAGATGGTGGAATTTGAATTTAAGAAAAGAAGTCTGGAACTAAACCACTATCAATTGTCTGAAAAACCCATCTGATTCACCAATGTCCTTTTTAGGGAAGGAAACTCCAGACCCACAGCAATGTGGTCGATAGAAATACAAATTAATTACCTGTTCTAGTTGCCACACATTCAGAAGTCTTGTAAGTATAATATTCTTTGAACATCCTTTGTCTCATGAATGATGGAACTCAAATCTTATGAGCATTTTACAAGTCTGCTGTATTCTGGCATCATTACTTCTCTGACTCCCTTATGCCAAATACTACCTCCTATGATTAAAAAAAAATGAGCTGAAGCATGGGATTAAGGAATCAGATGTCACAAGAGGACAATGGCAGAGATTAATCTTGTAACTTTTCTGCAGCCTGATTCTTCCCATCTTCATTATCTTAATCACAATTACAGTAAACCAGAAATAAATTATTCTATTGTCCATCTCAACATCTTCCATCACATCAATTTCTGTTGTAATTGCAACTACAGCAATATAGGAAAGAAATGTAACAGATGGGCGTAACCATTTGAGACAGGAAATGATGAAGGCTGAGGGGGTTTTTATGCGATAGTTGATTCATAAAAAAGCCATGGTGAAAGATAATCTTTACGTAGTAGTCTGCATCCTCCATTAATTTCCCATGGGTTTGAACATTTTTCCTGTGCTTCATAAGGGGTCAGCTCTTAAGTTCCATCACATAGTTTCTCGAGTCCTTTGTTGATAAGGTTCTACTGATATGGAGCTTGTTAGGCATAATATGATCATTAAATGGTTACAGCATGGAAGGAGACAATTTTGAATTCCACTAGCTTTATTTCAAGTACTTAACTAATTATCTTTGAAAACAGCAATTGAATCTGCCACAATTCAAGGCAGTGCATTCCTGATCATAATCATTCATGAAAAAGATATTTTTCACTTCACCTTAAATTTGTATTATTTTTCATCAATGGAAATAGTTTCTATCTCCCGTGAGCACCCTTGATCTGGAAGAGAGTACCAACAGGAAGTTAACTTGTAACTATCAGTTCCTGTTTTGAAATCTTTTAAAGATCTACAATGAGAAGAATATGAATGATGAGAGAGGTTGAAAAGACTAAATCCCGACTTCAGTTAATACACATCAAGGTTTGTGGACAGGTTTGTTCAAAAGGACATGTTACTTTTGACACAAGGGCATATAAAAGCTGATGCTGGTAGTTAACAAGCAAACCTATCATTGGTTACTCAATTGGGTGTTCCTTAGATGATAATTTACTGATTGGTAAAGTTCATGACACACTGAGTTCTCCTACATATGAAAGTTAAAGATATTTTATATTTTGTTCATCTGGTCAGAAAGGCAGATCAATTATTATCACTTGCGCTACCAGGTGACATGGTCACTAATGTTGGCCAATTAAATGACCTTCCCTCTAGATTGTCAGATAAATGCTAAGGCTGATGAATATTGAGCTGAACATTCAAGGGAAAGGCAGAAGCTATCCATCCATGCCCTTTTATAGTGTTAAATTAAAACAGAACTTGTAGTGTTCCTCATTTGTTTATTAATGTAGATTTCTTATAAGAAAGTTATTTGTTGAGAATAAGGTTCTGTTGTCTCCAAACATTTTTGAAAAGCCCATTAAGCTGTTAAAACAAATGGTAGAGTATAGGCTGGGTGGCACGAAAGATCCAACCACTTGTAAACCTGCTGCAATAATTAATGTTTCAATCAAAGTTACGTTCAAAGAATCAGAAATCTGACTTGTTAGTTAATTTATAATTGACATTGGAACGTCAAGATGAAGAGAGAAATTTAATGGCAGTTTATGGGTATGAGGTTGGGAGCAGGAGTAGGCCATTTGGCTCCTCAAGCCTACCCTGCCATTTAGTACGAACATGGCTGATCTGATTGTAACCTAGACACTACACTTCTGCTTATAACTGAAAACCTTTACTCACCTGCTTACCAAAACTCTAACCCACCACTGCCTTAAAAATATCCAAGCAATCTGCTTCTGTTTTTGTTGGAGGGTTCCAAAGACATACAATCCTCAGAGACAAAACAAAAGCTCTTTATTTCTGCCTTAAATGGGCAATGACTTATTTTTAAACTATGACCCCTAATTCAAGATTCTTTCAAAAGAGGAACCTCCTTTCTGTATTCACTGTGTCAAGACCCCTCAGGATAAAATAGAATAGAATCCCTCCAGTGTGGAAACAGGCCCTTTGGCCCAACAAGTCCACACTGACCCTCAGAAGGTCCCACCCGGACCCATCCCCTATAACCCACAGAACCTACACATCCCTGAACACTGCAGGCAATTTAGCATGGCCAATCCACCTAGCCTACATATCTTTGGACAGAAACTGGAGCACCCAGAGGCAACCCACACAGACACGGGGAGAATGTGCAAACTCCACACAGACAGTCACCCAAGGGTGGAATTGAACCCAGGTCCCTGGCCCTGTGAGGCAGCAGTGCTAGCCACTGAGCCACAAGGATCTTAAATGTTTTAATCAAGTCAGTAATTCCAATGGAAAAAAGCCAAGGCAACCTATCCATTGTAATTATTAGTCTAATTAAGCTTTTCTGAACTGCCTCTGGTGAGGGGTGAGGTTGAGAAAGCTCACTTGTTGACTTCAGCCTGTTTAGGAATTGAACCCACATCGTTGGTATCACAAACCAGCTGTCTAGTCAAGAACTAACTGAATCCCACTGCCAATAACATTCTATTAACTTGCTTGCTGTTACCTACATTCTAACCATTTACAATTCATGGACTAGAACACCCAGTTCTCTCTGCATTTCAAAGGTCTGCAATTGCTTACGACTTAGGTGATTTTGTTTTCTTCTTCCTGCTAAAATTAACAAATTCCACATTTTCCCACTTTATATTCCAATTGCTGACCCTATACCTACTCACTCAACTATATCATTGTAGCCTCCTAATGTGCTCTTCATAACCTACTTTCCTAACTACCATAAGCAAATTTGGGCAGACTGTTGATCCCTTCATCCAAGTTTATAGTGAAAAGTTGAGACCCCAGGATTGATTCCAGTGGCACAACTCTTGTTCCATCTTGCCACCCAGAAAAATACCTCATTTATTTCTGCTGTTTGTCTCCTATTAGCTAAGCAATCCATACATGCCAATATATTACCCCATACCATAAGCCTTTATTTTCTGCAATAACCTTTGAGGCATCTTATTTATTGCCTTCTGGAAATCATAGGGCAGAACTGGTGTATGGACTGAATCTACCTAGAGCACACGTTACTTCTTCAAAGAACTCCAACATATTGATGAATTCAAAATTGTCATTTTACTTTTATTAAACCATGGCGACGCTGCCTACTGCTACAACTTATGTAATAATATTTATCATTTTCCCTATCACAGATGTTAAGTTTAGTTTCTTGTTGTTTGTCTCCCTCCCTTTCTGAATAAAAGTTACATTTGCAGTCTTCCAATCTAATGGAAACTTCCTAGAATCTAGAGAACTTCAGAGAACTTTAGAGAATTAAAACCAATTTGTCAACTGTATCACTAACTACTCCTTCTAAGGTCCTAGGATGAAATCCATCATGAACCAGGGACTTGTCTGAATGCAGCCCCAATCATTATTCTCAGTACCACTTCCCTGGTGATTGTACTTTTACTTCAATTCCTCCTTCTCTTCCATTTCCTGAATTTTATCAGTATCTGGCGTGCTACCTTTACCATCTATAGTGAAGACTAACATAAAATACTTGTTCATTTCATCTGCCATCTTCTCAATTTCCATTATTCATTCCTCAGATACACTTTCTGCAGGATCCATGTTCACTTTCCTAACTATTTTCCTTTCAAAATATATATTAAGAGCTTCAATAGGTATCTTTATATTCCTAGCAAACTTTCTCTTAAGATCACAAGAAACAGGAACAGGAGTAGGCTGTTCAACCTCCTGAGCCTGCTCTACTGTTTAATAGGAGCATGGCTGATCCATTCCTCACGCCCACTTTCATGCTCTTTCTCCACAACCTTTGATTCCCATACTGGTGAAGAATCTTTCTAACTCAGCATTAAATATACAAAAGGACTCTGCCCCTACAGCTCTCTGTAGCGAGCAGTTCCAAATACATTCAACCTAAGAGAAGTCCCTTCTCACCTTGGTCTTAAACTGATGTCTCTTAATTCTGAGACTATGTCCTTTGGTTACTTAAATCATTTCCATTTAAATCACACACTGTTCTTTTGTTCTTCTTTCCAAATAGACCAAATTCTCATTTTCCCACATTATACTCCATTTGCCCACTTACATAACATATCACTGTTTCTCAGTAAATTGTTTGTATCCATCTCG